CAAGACTCGCGATCGCCTGATAATTACCACCACTTGTTGAATGCTTGAATGAAGTCGCGGAATCTTCGAGGATGTTCCAGTCGGGTTCTATAGGCTCTAGAGGCAGCCTCATTTGTCCTGGAACTACAAACCATAAAACCAGTTTCAGGTTTCATATACAAGAACTGATGTTTTAAAGAAGTTATTTGCTGTCTGACTATCTTTATGTACCTGAGACATTGTCAAAGCTATTTGAAAAAAAACTCTCATTGGAGAAAGATGCATCGAGTACAGAACCCGGGCTAGTGTACTCACTGTTTGCATTTCCAACGGGGCTCCACAACTCATTTTTGCCTTTCCTCTGCAAGAAGCAAGAAGCATAATGAATAAAGAGATGGGGAAATACTTAAAATGGAAGTCTTCGGAGATTATAAACATACCCGATAAGCTGTTTCTGCGTAAGGCATATCGATATCTCGATTATAACGCTGCTCCAAAGCTAAAGAAGATAGCAATTCATGGAGAATCAAAGAGGCTGATTTATTGGGAAAAACACTTTCTCCTTTGGCCTCATCTTCTTCCTGAGAAGCCAATTCTTTCAACTTTTGCTGAATCAACCCGAGAGTACCTACATCAAGCGGTGGCCTTTTCGTAAAGGATGGTCTTGGAACACGTTGAACTCCTTTTCTCTCTTTAGTTTCTCTACAGCATTGGCTATTATTTCTGTGAAGTGAACCAAGTTTCAGTGATGGAAATGCAGTTTCATTGCTACCGCTGGGGCCATTACTAAAAGCGCAAGAGCATTCACCATCTAACCTTTTTGACACTGGACTCGTAAAGCTACTTCCTCGTCCGTGACCACTATCACAAGCTAGCCTCCTCTTCCGTCCTGGCGTGCTTAATACCGATCTACTACTAGACTCCTCAACTCTAGTCTGAGATTTTCTCTGCAGATTCAAATCAGAGTTTTCAAATTTAACCGGGGACTTCGAGTGATGACTCCTACTAGTTGAACCTCTATTCATAGCTATAAAGTCCTTCTCTTTACAGTTGATAGCATTTGCAGGTGAAGAACAACCTCTTTTACTTGGTAAGGCAAAAGATCGAGCTTCTGGAGGAAACCTGTCCTCCCTATGCAACACCTTATTATGATAATCTCTGTTTCTAAAACCCGGCAGCGACATTTCATCCTTTCCATGCTTCCCATTGTAGTCATATCGAGCACGGTGTAGAGCTTTCCTCACCACTTGATCTGTACTGTCTTCATTTCTCCAAAACACATTTCTTTTACTCCGTTGAAATGGAGTTGATTCAGAAACACACGCCACGCTCTTACCAGTTTCTTCAACTACCGGACTCGAACCATTAACATCAACCAAGCTACCACAAGCTTTACAAGAAGCAACATTATTATTATAACCACATTGAAACTCAGGTGAAACAACTTCAACCGGCTCTTTCCCAGCATTTTCAAACCTTCTAAACCCCGAAGAACCAGGATAAGCAATAGCGCATTTCGCATTTCTCTTCCCCGGTTCAAGAATCCTAGCAGCAGCATCAATCAACCTAGAACTTCTTCTATTCAACCTCGGACTTCTAACAGGAGAAGCCAGTTTCTGATGCTGATGATGACTATTATACTGATGATGTTTCCTTACTCGAGTCAAAACATTCTTGATCTGCAACGCATCAGAACCAAACTTCTTCACCGCAACACGCCTATCACAAACTCCCGTTGTTCTCTGCATCTTCTGTGGCCTTAACTTATCAAAACCACTCTCTTCTTCTTCTTCCCCATCAAACAAGTCACATTTATCGGTACCTTGAATCTGCGAAAACAACTGTTTCTTCTTCTTGTTCTTCCCTTTGTCTCTATGACTAGATGGCATTGATTCAAGTCCCATTAAACGTGCTACTAAACTAGGAGATCTCATTTCATGCTTTTTAAGCTCTCCAACTTCACCTCTATTTGGAAAACTTCCTCTGTTCTCATCATCAATCTATCAATTCAACACAAATACAGAAAAAATCAACAATTACTCAAATCAAAAACTAAAGATATAAACTTTAACATAAAGGAGACATAATCACCAGATTAAGCTTTGACTTTAACATCTTCTCATTCCCTCCAAACCTCTTCGAAACTTGTTTTCCTGACACAACCATAGATAAACTCCTTCATTACACACAAGCTCAACAACAATCACTTTCAAACATAAACTGAGACAGAGACAGAGACTAACCAGGAAGAAGTGATTTGCGAGAAAAGAGTTTCTTTTTAGCAAAACGTCGATTCCAATCAAAGAGCTGGAAGAAAACACCGACACAACCACCAAGTCGGTTTGGTCGTTTCTCAGTTATAGCCGCACACGGCGCCGTCGTCTCCTGTAACTCTCCCGTCATAACGAAACCCTAACAAACCCACAAGCTCAGAGATATCTCAAACACAGTAAAAAAGTCTCCTTTAGAGACACATTGTCTCAAATTCCATAACTTTATCACATAATCAAGAAAGAAGCAAAAACCCAGAGAAAAAAAAAGAACAAAACTTTCTTTGAATTCTGATTCTTAAAAGAAAAAAGAAAAAGTCACTCAGCTTTTGTGAGTTTGTGGAATCTCTCAGAGATGAATGTACATCAAGAAGACAGTTGGAAAATCAAGAAAACGACAATGGTACTACAGTAGAAGAAGAAAGAAACAGAGCTTTTTTGGAAGAATGGAAAAAGTTTATGTGTCAAGAACTGAGAACTCAACGGGTAAATATTCGCAATTGAGAGTTTAAAAAGTGAAAGGAGACAAAAGCAAAACGATAGTGACGAGAAGTGATTGAAAGAGAGATGAGTAAATCTTTCTGTTTTTTTTTTTTTTCTCTGTGAAAATTATTACTGTGATTCTCTCTGTTGTCACTGACGGTGAAAGGAGCTCGAGAGAGATTGTTACAGAAGAAAGAGAGAAGCATGCGCACAAAAGGTTAAGTAGCTGATACAAGTAGACTAGAGAAAAGACTCAAAAAAGAGAAACAAAAATGGAGATTAGTTTTGAGTATATGTTTAGAGAGTAGAGATTAGAAGCGTAAAAATGTGGTTCCGGACAATAAGGGTTAAAGGTTCGAGGTTTCTGTTTCTCTCGTTTTTGAGGAATCCAGCTTCATCTGTAGTCCGTTTCTCAGTTCCAACTTTGTATTGGTTTTTGTTCCAAACTGAAATAAAAACTTAAGTGTTTTTTTAACTTTTTATAACTAATATTGATAAAGGAAAAAGAAATATGATATCATGATTTTTTTGTGGCCAATCGAGTCAAGACATGTGGACTACACTTCGATTATAACTATTTTGTGTCAAAAGAAAGGAAAAAAAAGAAAATAATTTTGAAGAGGCTAAACAACGACCTGACCTTATGGATGATGACCACAGTGTGATGGGGTTTTAGAGGTTGTGGTACTAGCTTGTCTCCTAGGGCAATAACAAATATAATATAGAGCTGCAAAATTTTCGGTTATAGGTGACGAATCAGAATTTTTTTTAGTCTAGACTAAAGTGTGTGTGAGGATTATCTATTTGTTAAAGGACTTTTTTTACGTCCAATTGTTATGTTTAGGTTCATGGACAAAATTTTATCATTGTATCAAGTGATAGTAAGTACTCAAGGTGTGGATTCACAAAATATCTATGAATTAGCGAAGGTTACGACCAATATAATGAGTCAAAATTGTCAAATAATAATGGGATCATAAAAAGAACTTTCAAAGCTTATGAAATTTTCATTAAATTTTTAAAATTTTCTTTTTCCAAAACTGTTCATCATGATTTTCTTTTAAAGTATATCAAATGGATTCTCAGAAATTATCGTGCGAGTTACAAATGGTTACGAAAAAATCATATTTTAATCGTTTTTGCAAGTTTCTATAATGTATTAAGAGTTTTTTTTTTTGACATCCCAATAACAATAAGGGTAGTTTGTAAGAAAAATTTTGGATGTTATTATTTTGGTAATGGATAATTACAAAATGTTTTTGCAAATTGAATACAAAAAAGACCATTTACAAATGTCTTTTTTTTTTAATCAAGAGGTTCTCTAATTCTATGTGATCATAAATTAGAGCAAGTAAATTAGTCTCTTCTCCAATGACAAGATTTGAACATATAACCTAAAGTGTAATTCATTTGGAAGGTCCTTGGTCCAACCAATAAAGGACTCCTAAATTACGAACATCATTTTCTTTTATATATAGTCGAGATATCAAATAAGCTCGATTCAGATAATCAGACGGCTCTAGTAATCTGCTTTTGGGTAAGTGTATATCGTTCAATATTCACTTAGACTTTTTATCAAGTACTATATGTGTATATGACTATATCCAACGTTGTTGCAAGTTTGTATTACACTAATCAAGAGTCAATAGCTTC